GGATCCGTCATCTAGGCAGTTGTCAAACACCCACACACCTTTGAAGCCAATCGCACTGGTGGCAATCCTCATATCTCAGGCTAGCCAATTCCATATTTGAACAGCGCTCTGTGTTAATCTGAAGACTACCTTCTACGTGCTATCCTTACCACCTTGCACTACCTGCTACCTCACCATCTTATCATGAATTCTGCTCATGAATTTATTTATTTATTTTCCTATTGACCAATTCTCCTTGGCTTATGACAACTTCGTCAAATGCCTTGCACTACCCGCTACCTCACCATCTTATCGTGAATTCTGCTCATCTATTTATTTTTTCCTATTGACCAATTCTGCTTGGCTTATGACAACTTCGTCAAATGCCTTGTAATTCTTACTCACTTTTCCCTAGCTCCTGAAGTGATGAATAAAACAGAAATCCTAAAATGAGATCTACCTGTATGTCCCACTAGAAGAAATCTCCACACATACGCTACCTCACCATCTTATCGTGAATTCTGCTCATCTATTTATTTTTTCCTATTGACCAATTCTGCTTGGCTTATGACAACTTCGTCAAATGCCTTGTAATTCTTACTCACTTTTCCCTAGCTCCTGAAGTGATGAATAAAACAGAAATCCTAAAATGAGATCTACCTGTATGTCCCACTAGAAGAAATCTCCACACATAATATGCCAACTGCTTGATAACTTGATTAGATCTTCTTAGAGTTCTTCCGCCCATAACCCATTATTGTACCTGAATCATTATTGCTGCGGTAGCCATAATATGTTACATCATTTTTAATATGTAGACAATCATGTACAATTGTACTCTTGTCAGTACAGAACGTCAAACTGAGAAACAGCCACTTTCTCTTCACTCATGCTGTTTTCTCCTCCAGTTTGCTTTCCCACAATCTCTTCTATGTCTGTCGATTCATTGCCCAGTTTCCTTTAATGTTCTTATACCAGCATGTACAGAAGCCTGCAAAGCCTCAGGCTGCGTGACCACGTGATGCCATAACCAAATTCTTTACAAGAGGCTCTGAAGGTTCATGCAGTCATGAAATATCACCTATTGCTCCCATGACATAGGAAGTGGTTACGAATGCTGGGTTCTTGACAACGGATAAACTGGAATCAGCCTTGTGCATTTATTCTTTTTCTCATCTTCAGATCATTGCAGATTTCCAAAATCCACACTATGCTGTCCCTCGGCTTTGCAACGGCAGACCCTTTTAACCAGCGACATCAGTATTTTTGCATGGCCCTTCTGCTTTAAGGCTTCCCAGAAACAGAACATCACAGGAACTAAATTCTCAGATCCATACCCCACTGGACGGCAGGAATGGGTTTAAGACCTTGAAAGCATTTTCTTAAGTTAAATGTGACCTAGTAAAACAAAAAACACACTCAACAGCGCTATCTTCAAATATTACCTATATCATAAACTTGCACATTTAGCAACTCATTGTCTCTCAGACTCATCTCTTCCCAGCGACCGTGCTAAGATAATAATACTGTAGTAACAATAGTAGTTGACTTGCTTTCTATTATTGCTGTAAGAATTTGAGAAGTCACATAACATTAAATATTAAAGCTGAAAGACATAATGTCAATATGATCAATATCTCCTTGCTTTTCTAGAGAGGTTCCATGATCACCCACATTCTAACTACAACATGACATGCTACTTTGACCAAAATACTGCCCTGTAGAACCCTAGGGGTGGAACTGTTACAGTGATACAGGCCAATAAAAGGAAGTGGTCTGGGGGGATTTCCTGTCTCATTATAAACTTGTTTACGACTATTGAGTCTACGCATATTTACCTGCTTTTAAGGCCTACTGCAGATTTACTTCAAAGTACGTAAAATTACACACACGCCATTTATAGAGATGCACTTGCAAGCATACTCAATAGGAAGTAGCTTTACTGTTACTAAGACTCAAGTAAGCCTTCAATGGCTGATGGTGCAACCCCCATCGCCCATTTGATCTATGACCCCTAGGATCATAACCTCAAATTCTTTTCATTTCTAAACATTTCACTGTTTGTAATTAACTGAATTGTGCCTGTGTACGTGTGTAGATTCATAATCCACTGATAAATGTTACAGCTCTTCTCACTGGCATGAATGATTGATTAGTACCCAGCAGCTAATAGTTAACATGGAGAGCAGAGATCAATAGCAATCATGGGATGTCACTCAGAATTTGGAAGGAATGAGAGATGTTGGTAGAAAGAAAATTAGCTGGTATCATTAGCCCTTGAGCAATTCAGCATGCAGTAGTTCTCAGTTCTGAAAAGACACCTCACATGTACCTTTCCATAACACAATTTGTTCTTAAAGCTGTGATTCTAAATATATTTTCCAGGAAGTAACCACCACTGAATACAACAGGCCTTTTTTTAAAATTCCAAATAAACACATAAATGAGTGCACTGTAACCATCTGGAAATGCAGTCCTGTGTTTACTTCAGAGCAATCCCATTAATTTGAACAAGGGGACTTTATAACTGATGTCCACCAGATTGCAGAAGTGTGGACGCTTATTCTATTATATGCTGTTTGGCTTCTTGCACCTTATACTATTTATACAGTGGACCCTCTACTAACAGAATTAATCCGTATTGGTACGGTGGCTGCAGGTCAAAAAGTCTGTAGGTCGAGTCTCCATTGATCTACAGTACAATGCATTGAAAACCGATTAATCTGTAACCGGCCGTTTTTGTTCCGTTTTTGTTCCGTTTTGGTTTTTTTCTCCTCTGTAGGTTGATTCTCCGGCTGCAAGTTGAACCTAAATTTTGCGGCCAGAGAAGTCTGTAACTCGAAAAGTCTGTAAGTCGAGCCGTTTGTAAGTCGAGGGTCCACTGTATGGGCATAAGATAACTGGGCCAGAATTCAAAAGAACCATTCAAAGTACCATAGTTGAACATTTGAGTTCTCTGTTTGTTTATATGTAATAAACTAGGACCTGATAGATTTTATCTCATACCATAGTTAGTCTACGCTTCAGAAACAGGAAACAGTTTTGCTCCCATATGCCTGTAGTCTAAAGGTCAGCAACTTTTGGCTCACCAGATGTGCTGGATGCAACTTCCAAACACAGGCCTAAATATCTGGAACGTGACATGTTCCCGACCCCTACTCTACTGCACAGTCAAAATGGTTCAGAGGAATCCAAGCCATAAGGTAAACAGCAGTTTCTGTATCTGTTTTAGCCAAGCAAATTTCACTATGTACCATCTCCAAAACATCCTGTCCTCAAATAACCTGCTCAGCTCTTTTGAAATCAAGCCTTGGTTTCCTTTAGGGAGTTCATCTTGTATTTGGTCTTCCTCTTTTCTTGTTGGCATCCTGTCCTCAAATGCCCTGCTCAGCTCTTTTGAAATCAAGCCTTGGTTTCCTTTAGGGAGTTCATCTTGTATTTGGTCTTCCTCTTTTCTTGTTGCCTTCCACCTTTCCCAGCATTATGGTCTTTTCCAGGGAACCTTGCTTTCTCATGATGGACCTAAAATAGGACAGCGTCAGCATCAACATTTTTGCCTCGTTCCAGCTTGATGTCAACTAATAAAGAGCAAACAGGTATAATTATAACAAAACCATGCATTGCTTTGAACTTTGAGAACCATTTTAACGAATACATACTGCAAATGACTGCAACCAGAAAATATTTCTGCACCACCAGCCCATCTGCTACTCTTTCCAGATGTCATATTCCATGTCAGCTCTAAGAAGCAGAAACAATGGTGGGGTGTCCTTGGTCAAGGGTTATTGCAGTCCAACAACAACTTGAGGACCACAGCGGCCCTGCCCTCTTCTATGCAGAGCTCAAAACGAATGAGGCACTACCTAGCAAGTATACATTTTGCACTGCTCTTGCTTCAGATAGCTGAGGGTCAGGATCAAACATCCTTCCCACAAGGTTTATCCTGGGAGGTCGATTAGACTAAGGTTGGCTGGGCTTTTCTCAGATTTGACTGGATAGCTCAGTAGTCTAGGTATCCGGATGCAGAGCCAAAGGGTTGGAGGTTCGATTCTCCACTGTGCCTCCCGAGAGAAAAAGCAGCCTGTGTAGCCTTGGGCATGCTCTACAGTCCCAGGGTGCCACCAGAAGAAGGGAAGGGTAAACAACCATTTCTGAGTACTATATTCTTCCACCTGAAAAACCTTGGAAAGCTTTGACATAATTCAGAGTCAACTTGACAACATACAGTTGTTATTATGAAGACAGTAAGTGCTCCAATATCACTCACTGAGCTTTATGGATGAGTGGGATTTGAACTTTCAGTTTTCTTGTGTATTCCTCTTGCTGTGAGTCAGCCATTCTTATCCAAAAACAAAATGGACCAAACCCCTATTTATTCCATGGGGCTTCTTGTAAATTCACAATGGAGCAAATGGATGTCTCCTCTTTCAAAAAAAAGTCTATGGTCCTTCGGCGTCTCTAAAAGTCAGCGGGGGGCGGGGTTTAAGAAGCGAAGGCGGTGCCTTCAGGAGCAACCCGGTTGGTCTGGTAAAAAAAAAAACAGAGGGATGACCAATAGCAACGCGCAGAGGTCATTCTGCGAGAGAAGGCGAGCTCCGCGATTGGCTGGGCTCGGGGAGGCGGGCTCCAGCGCGGCGCCAGAGCGCGAAGACTCGAATTCCGCCTCTCCGGAGCGGGTCGGCGCGCGCTTCTTTCCCTCCGCCCGCCCGCCGTGTTGAGGCCCCGACGCCATGGCGGCGACGAGGGAGAAGGAAGAGGTGAGGCTTGTGTGGGGCGGGAGCCCCGTTGTGGCGGGGAGCCGAGCTTTTGAGGAGGACCCCGGGCTCCGTGTCGGTGGTCGGAGGTCCCGCTAGAATCGCCTCAGAGAGACTTCGGGACTACCTTTCCCGGTGTGCATTGCGGCCCCGCTCGGGGTCTCCCGGCATGCACCGCGGCCCTTGGCTCTGTCCCTCCTGGCTAGCAACCACCTGGGGGGCTTTGGGGGCCTCTCTGAGCCTCGGAGGGAGGGAGAAGGAGAAAGCTAGGGGGACGTTACTTTTTTTTGGGAAGGGGGGCTACGAGTCCCAGACTCTCCCTGCCCGCCAGCTCACCCGACTGGGGGATTCTGGGAGTTGTAGTCTTCTTGGGGCGGGAAAGGAACCTTTCCCAAGGCATGAAACTCAGCTGGTGGCAGGCCGGATAAATGACCATTGATTTAAAAAATCGATTTAAATAGAGATTTAAATTTTTTTAAAATCGTAAAAAAACCCCACCCAATTTAAAAAAATGTAAATCATGATTTAAATAGATTTTATTTAAATCGAATTCACCCTGGTTGGTATCATAGGTCGCTATCATGGGCCACTGTCGTTTGTTTTTGCTTTGTAGGAATGTTGTATTTGACAGAATGATCCTACATGGCACTGCCTCACCTACAGTCTGATGTGGGACAAGCCCTGTGAACCGCCCCAGAATTCTGCTGCATCCTTTGGTTGTGTTTACATAAATCACAGTCTCATCCAGTTTTTAAATAAGTCTGCTTGTAAATCAGGTTTATTCTTATCCTCACCTTGGAGAGAAGGGAAGGTGTTGAAGCTGAAAGACCATTTGTTTGTATAAGGCTAGTAAGTTCTCAGCAGATGCAGAGTTGAAACCAGAAATACCAGGGTCTCCACATAATCAGGAACACTGGAATACACGCTGCTACTTTCAGAAACAGAATCTGTATATAAAGGAGACTTTACTTTTTAGAAAGTTAACCCTTGTAGGTGAAGAGCTATGGAAATAGGACAGGTCCATAATTGTTTGACTCTGATTTTTGAATGGAAATAGTGGCAAATGTCATTAGAGTGCTGATTGCATCGTCTTTATTCTTCGGACAATCTTGTCATGTAAATTGTGGCTATAGAAAGGGATGCCCAGAATGTGGCATATTTTAACCATCCTTTGTGCTCCCTTTGTGAGTGGAAAAAGTGTGCTTGGACTGGCTTCTGTTTTAAAACCCAGCTTTAACATATTTACATGTGTTTTGTTTGTCTTGTCGCATTTACAAATATTTTGGGATTGTGGCTTCTTTTGGATGTCCGGAATCTGAACTCTCAGAACCCCCTTGAAAATGATTCAGACAGTGGACAAGGCAGCTGTGAAATGAACTCTCCTGCACAGTTAAGCAAGGGAGTTGTACCAGCTGATGATGGAGGTCAGTACTTCATTCATTCATTCATTCCAGTTAAAATCCCTTTGCTGATGACGGAGGTCAGTACTTCATTCATTCATTCCAGTTAAAATCCCTTGGTCTTGCATCATGTACTATTTTGAAGAAGTCCTTTGCACAGCCCAAAAACATGGTAGTTTAAAATGAAAGGCTTAAATCTTGAGTTGAGAACCCTGCAATAGAAAGGGATCATTCCCCCTCCCCCCGAACATTATGGACAAACATTTTCCAAAGTTCCTGTAAGCTAGTTTGTTTGCTCTGCTAGTCCTAGCCAACAAAACACAAGAATGTTGCTAGTTAGTCTCTTTCCTCAGCAGTTCTCCATGTACATCCACTCCATCTCCATACATAAATTATAGGGCTGCTGTACTGAAGCTGAAGTAAAAAGGAAGGCCCAGATGAATGGATTTGGCTCTTGCGCTCCTGTGAACTGTAGTAGTTTTTGTAGATTGTAGCCAGAAAAGGATCTGAATTATCTCCTTATCTACCTATCTGTTGTATTATTTCCTATAGTATAAATTACTTGCCTAAATGATCTACATGTTCTAGTAAAGTCAATTTCAGTAATATTTAGTGTGATGTAAGCTATTGTAGAAAATGTATACCAAAAAATTAACAGCGCTTAAAGAAAAAAGAAGGTAGAACGTGACTGTATTAATTGCCATCAAAATAGGTATGTTTTAAAAAGGGACACAAGGTATAAGACCATGTAATTTATGTTTTTATATCTATTTCAGCAGATTCAGATGAAGAGATTTCTGTGAGCAAGAGAGTCAAATGCAAGAAGGTGCTCCCAGATAGCGATAGTGAAGAAGAAGAAGAAGAAGACCTTGTCCCTGAGATACCGGGGGTCGGGACTCATGATGTGGAAGGTGGAACCGCAAATGATAAATTTGCTGCTCGAGAGAAGAAATCTATCCAAACCTTTCCAGTTGTGGAAGACAGTGAAGGCAGTGATGCTGAGAACCTGTCACCGAAGGTTCTGTTGGAGAACGTGGGAAAACCTGAACGAAAGCCCAAGAGTCGTAAAACGAAGCAAAGGGATGGAACAGCAAAGGACAGTCCCAGGAAAAGGAGGATGAGGAAAGACAAAAAACTGAAGTCCCTTAGTCAGATGATTAAGAAAGAAAAGCCACCAGAAAAAGAGGTATGGCTGGAAGAAGGAGGGGAATATTTAGAAGGGAAAAAAAAAGAATTTTCTTGGAATCACTTGGTGTTTCTGCAAATGATAGAAATAATCTCTGGTGCCTTTATGTTTGATGGCTTATGCCATGTTGCATTAGGTGGCCTATGAAGAATGGCCTTCCTAGCTCCCTTCCTGATGTAAAATGCCCATACTGTAGCCCAACTCATTGCTACAGTAGGAGAAGATAAAGTCCATTCTTGACGAATGCCACAACTAGTTTGCGTCACGTCAGATAGGAAGTACAGTGGCTTCTTCTCTTAAAAAAAACACACACAAAAACCATCAATACATACTGTCGTACACATGGAGAAATAGATAACATGTGGAAGCAAATTGGCATGGACCTCTTCCTGACATGCTGGTTTTCCAGGTATAAGAGACTGATGAGATGCATCATCTATTCATGTGAAAGGAAGCAAGAGCTATTGTCTGGCTATGTTGACACCTGTCTTAAGCACATCCCACTTACTGTAACATACTCTGCATGGGTTTGCCTTTGAAGAGTGTTCAGTAACTTCATTTTGCAGCCAGACTGTGGGTTGGGGCCAGTTACAGGGGGCAGATCACTCCCCTGTCATATTAGCTCCACTGGCTATCATTCCACCCCCCACCCCCCCAAGCCTTTAAGGTAATAATCTTAGAACTGGAAGGAGCCCTGTGGATCTTAAAATCCAGCTCTTGTCAAGAAGGCACAGTGTGGAATCAAACTCGCAATCTCCAGCTCCGCCAAAAAGACCTAAACTACCGACCTGTCCAGAAGATTTTTCGGGGAGTCTTTTCTCTCTGTCCCACCAGCTTCACTGGCACGTTTGGTAAGGACTCAAAAAAGAGCCTTTTTGGTGCTGCTCCCAGACTATGGAGCTCCTTTCCAAGGAAGACTATTCTGACTGTTTTGCTTTTTAAAATTGTTCTAAGTTCAATAATCTTTCATCTGCGTTGATTGATGTAGATGTTGCTCCCCCCCCCCATTTTGTGTTAAGTCCTGGAAGGAGGAGAAAAGTGGGATGGAAATGCAATGCAATGCAATGAGTGATTCAGGTTGTCCTGTTCTACTTTGGCAGGAGAAAGAGGGAGAGCTATCGTTCAACGACAGTGGGTGTCTTCTGGCCGATAAAGATCTCTTTGAGAATGGTTTGGAAGAAGAAGAGGATCTGCTCTCAGCAGATGAAGAGTCCCTTGAATTAATAAAAGCTGCTGCAAAGCAGAAAATGAGAAAGCAAAAGGTAAGATGCATTAAACCTTTCCAAAGAAATGTTGATTTTCCTTTGGCCCTGACGTGAGGGCCAGTCAGTGTTGGACAAACATAGACTTGAGGTGGGTGGCATATGGCAGGCAGGCAGTTTATCTGCCTTGTGCTCAGTTCGTTATTCTTTGGGATCCAGCACTCAACTCGTTTTTTTAATAGTGTGGTTCTTAACAACAATTAAAATATCACTTTTGTTCTTAACAGTATTTTTTTTTCTTTATTGTACTGTGTTTTGGTAACTCCTTGTGAACTGTCTTGGGGGCTTTGCTGAGGAGCACTTTTATACATTTAAATAAAATTAACTCTGCTCTTATCTGTAGAAAGTGGAGGGAGACCTCCTTCCTCCGTTTTATAACGAAACAATTTGATAAAATTGAATCTCCTTAACATTTTACATCTTTTAAATAATTTGTTCTGAAACCTGGCTAGACTTCTGCAGTCTGTTTACTTTATGATACGGTATGGTTGAACTGTATTATCAGATTAATCCAACTTTCATTTCACTTTTAAAAAAAAAGCAGTCTAACATTCCTTGGACAAATTGACTTCCAGTTTATGTTGGCATCTCAGACAGGATTTCAGACAGTTGTCAAGGAGATGGAAAGAGAGAATTGTGGTTCCTTCAGAGCTGTAAAAATGTGATCACGGAAGCTAAAATTGAATGTGACAGTTCCGGGAGTGATTCTCACAAAAGAAATATTGTAAAGAAGACTGAATTTGACAGACTCCCCTTTCTGTTTAAACAGCTGTTTTCTGAGAGTGAAGATTATGTATATACGATGGATGAAAGTGAGAAGTCCCTGTTAAAGGAACCTAAGAAGGTGAATTTTTCAATGCCTGCTTGATTTTAATTGCTCTTCTAAATATGGTTCCTCTTAATTTTAACTATTTGTATGGTACTTAGGGATGCTCTAACTTCCTCCCTGAGCTTGCCTTATTTTCCAGTCATGTTTAAGCAGCATGCTGGGTTACTTTTTTTTTTCCAAAGCTACCCTACATTTCCAAAGTGATCTATTTTCATTTTAGGAGAGGAAGGCAGCCAAGTTAAGTAAAGAAGCAATGAAGCAGCTACATAGTGAGAGCCAGCGGCTGGTTAGAGGTAAGACGTAGAAGTACTGGCAAAATTCTGAAAAATGTCTAGGCCCGTTGTCGTCATGGTTTATGCAGTACAGGAGACCACTAGTGAGGATGGGCCCAGAAACACAAGAGGGTGGAAACCTCTCTTCGTAATCAGGCAAGAGAGAAAGCTGGAGTAGCTTAGACTAATTGCTCAACTACTAGGTGTTGTATTTCTCCTTTTTAAAATCTTAGTGTATCAACCCGGAATTTCAACAGGATGGAAAGTCTCGGCTTATAAATTTACTGTTTGTCTATTAAATAAGCAGATAGGGAAATATACATGAGAATTAAGTAACATTCATCATGTGGCGCCTGCCTTGATGGGCCTTGTACCCCAGTTTAAGAACAGTTCTGGGGGCCTTGCCTTGTCAATGAGCCTTCATGGGGGTTGAAAATCCTGTGGTTCGCTGCAGCAGCTCTTGGTTCTAGGAGGGAAGTGCAGTGCCTTCCAAAAGGCTGTTGTCAGTGCCGCTGCTCTCTAACCCTTTCTGTCCTACCCCTTGGTTTCAACTCCAGAAGGAAGTCAACTGCTGCCAGATACAGGAGAAGCAAACATGCCATGAGAAGTCTAGCTAGGGGCATTTTGTAGGCAGACGTTGCAGAAGTAGCGATTTCTAGCTGTAGTAGTCATCTTGGCCTTTCTTAGTCTTTTGTTTGTGGCGAGGTCCCTTCTCATTCTAAACTCTAAATATTGCAGTTTTAGATTCTGCCCGAAATTCAAAGTCTTTTGGGAATGGGAATCTTGTAGTGGTCAACTTAGAAAACTGATGTGTTTGCTTTGAAAGCGTGTTGATTTTTATATGAATTTCTGGAGTTGCTGCAAGTTCAGTTTGAGACGAGAGGGACAAATTCTGAGGGTTACAAATTCTGAGGGGGCTGCAAGTTCAGTTTGAGGCGAGAGGGACAAATTGATTCCTTCAGTTACAAATTCTGAGGGTTACTGAGAACCGTGTGCTGTTCAGGTTTGCTTGCACGTTCCATTTGTAAATATAACAATTGCTTCATTGCAATGGAAACCGTTGCTAAGTATGCTTTGCATATAGAAGGTCTCGGGTTCTGAAACCACTTAGAGGAAAAAACTGGAACCTTAGAAGTAAAACTTTCAGCCAGTCTGGAACGTATTCCATTAGAATGATAATCTGACTTGTTTAAAAGCATCTATTCATTTTCAGATACGGGCATTTTAATCATTAAAATTAAACCAAGATAATATCAGTAAAACTCTCAGTCTGTTTCTGCATTGGACTTAACGGAGCAACGTAACCTCCCCATTTCTCCCCTGGCAGAAGCCGCTGTTCCTCTCCCGTATCACGTGCCCGAAGCCAAAAGCGTTCATGAATTCTTCAGGCGTAAACCTCGCCCTGTTTTCCAGGGAAGTGCAATGACTTTGCTAAGGTAATTCAAGCCTGTTTCTACCTGCATTTTTCTTCTACTATCCGCCACTTGTCCTGGTATTGACTCCTGCTGAGTTGCAATGTCATGGTAGAGCAATAACAGCATGTGGGCTGTGGGGTCTACAGCAGAAGACAGACTTCCAGGAACTCTGGTTTTGATTATGGAAAAGGAAAGTTTTTCAAAGCTTATGGCTTCCAAAGGGTGGCTGATGACATTTCAGAAACTCAGAGAAGTGGCTGAACAAGTGTCCCAAAAGCTAAGAGCAGAGTTTTGGTGCCTTGCCTGGCTCATTGTATTTTTCTTTGAAAAACACAAATGTTTCATTTTTTAATAAATAATCTTGTACATGTTCCCAATTTGGGTAATTTGCTCAGGTGCCTCAGCAACATTTAAATTTCTGCAGAATTCTAAATTTTAGTGCAAACTACAGAGTGAATGTTTTCTTCCATTTCACTCTATCAGCATTGGCATTTGCTTACCATTTTAAAAAATGTTGGTATTGATTTCAATGATTTATTGGGCTTTCCATTGTTTATGTTGCTAGGGCATGTGTGTTAGTAAACAAGCCAATTTTAATAAGTGTTGCCACTATTTTGTTTAAAGTATGCTTCAGTGCCATTCATTGATATATTTGGCCCTTTGAAATGGGTGAACCCAAACACCCTCTTTGTTTTTGAATTAGGTAGGAAACTGTGGAACAAAAAATGGGAAGATTTGCCTGTCCTGGCCTTTCTTATTGCTTGCTTTACATTGAATTGATTTGAAACAAATTTAATTGAAAATAAGATGGTACATCAGCAGGAAACATTGTGCAGCTTCCCCTTCTTGTGTCGAACAAGGGTGCATTTTACACACTGCTGTGTTTGGATGTTCCTAGGATCGGCAGTAACTCTTTTGGGGCTGACATACTGTTTTTTTAAGGGTGTTTGTCTTCTGGCCTTAACTTCCTCAAATTTGCACATGAACATGTTGAAAACAGAAGAAAATGGTAATTATTTTATTCTGTTTTGCTTGACAGATCCACTAAGAATCTGTCTGGTCTAGAGGCAGAAGGTGCTGTTCCAAAGAAGGCCAGCGCCATCTACCATGAGAGTGACCAGTTAGCAGTGAAGGAATTGGGAGTCAGAGCCGACCCACAGGATCCGGTCCCCCTGAATCCTGCATCTGGCAGCACAGACCGTTCTTCTTCTGAGAGAGTGGAAAATGGGATAGACTGCCTTGAACAGAACGGACAGAGCAGCGATCCCAAAAGCAGTTGCCCAAGAGCGGAACTGCCTTCTGAAAAACAAGACAATCCTGGTGAAATCCCTGCTGAACGCCTCCAATCACTAGAGACCAAACAGGAAGGAAATGTACTTGAACAGGGAGAGGAGCCTTCTTTGGACTTGCGCACAGGGCCCAAAGAACCTGATCAGCCGCTGGCGACGGCCTCTCATGGAAAAACAAAGAAGTCCAAACTGGCTCAGCTTCGGGAGCTGGGAGTCGATCTAACCATCAAGCCCAGACTGTGTTCCGGGGATGTTTCATTTATAGAGCTTGACGACGTGAAACCTAACAGAGGTGTGGTTCCAGCTTCTAGCCTCTTCCTAGGACTGGATCCTTATTAGCTTTGGCCACTTAGTATGAGGGGAGGGGGGCACTGCGGGGAGCAGCAGAGTGTTGGGAGTGTGTGCCATGTTTTCTTTATGAAATACTTCACCATTCAAAATGCACAGGTGGGCAATACCTTTACTTTGTCAATTTAGACACCGTGTAAGTCTGCAAGTTCTTCACAACGTCCGTCGGGCTGGAGAACTTAAAAGCTTTATATTTCATGAATGTATGGTTGATCTTAACAATGGTGTTGCCCACGTGTGGGTTTTGGATTTGTTTTTGTTTGTATGGACCAGGGTAGATGATTTCCTTTTTTTGGAATCCCCCCCCCCCCCCCCCCGATCTTAACAATGGTGTTGCCCACGTGTGGGTTTTGGATTTGGTTTTGCTTGTATGGGTCAGGGTAGCTGGTTTCCTTTTTTTGGAATTCCCTCCGCTTCCAATGTGTGGCATAAATTTACTGAACAGTTTTGCATTCGGTATACAATCATTGTTCTTTTTCTCCCTATGTATCTTTTCCTAAAACATGGCAGTTGAATATGGTCAGGTGCTATTTGCTGCTTTTTGTGCTGCAGGCTTCTGCTTGCTGGTCCCTGATTGTTCAAATCAGGCTGCTAGACCCACATAACTTACTCCCTTAGCATCTTCTGTGGAGACCTGATTCATCACAGTGACAATAACAATCTTAGAACTGCAGAGCTGGAAGTGTCCCTATGGATCATTGAATCCAGCCTCTGTGAAGGAGTCAGACTAGGAAATCAAGCTGACAACCTCTGACTCCACAGCCAAATATGTATCAGACTGGAAAATCAAACTGACAACCTCTGACTCCACAGCCAGATATGTAAACCGCTGAGCAATAATTTTAGTGTGCTGATTTACACTTCAGGCAAGGATATTTCTTCACAACCTTGTGCTGTCAAGGGTCAGATATGTGGCAGGCTAAAGAGAAGGAACGATGGAAGTAGCATTTTTCCATTGTACAACTGCTTTTGCTATCACAATGCTTTTGTATCATGCCTGGCAACTTTTATTCCCTTCAAGGGGGAATATTATGGCCTTCTCCCTCAAAGAAGAATGTAAGGGACCTTAGCAGATCCCTGTTTGATTCTTTACTGGGAGTTCTCTTCTTGCCCAGTTCGCCAAATTCCAATGAATTGGGGCATAGTTGAAGTGAAACCAACTTACTCTTTAAAATAAAAGTAAGAAAAATAAAACATGTGATCATAGTACAACTTTTCTCTCCCCCCTGTTTTAAAAAAAACAAAACACCACCACAGAACTGGAAGCACTGAAAGAGCGTTTTGTGAAACATGCACTTCACACGACCAAACCAAAGTCAGAACGAACGGTGAGTTTGAATATCATTCGTAAAGAGACAACGAACGAGGGCAAGGAGGAGCTGAAAGCAGACGTGGTACCCGTGGTCCTGCCTGCAGAGGCGATAGAAGAGGTGACCCACATGAAACCAGGTATGCCTGGAATGAGGATAGATGCAGGATTTACTGTCTGGATCCCTTTTTGACCCAGAGATCAAATTCTAGCTTCTGAGTGGTTGTGAGGGGGAGTCAGTGGGACTGAGGGTGTCGGGGAGACCAGATGACATTTGTACCAGTTCTGCCTCAAGAAATACACAAAATAAAGTTAATTTCTGTGCAGGTAAGCCCCAATTTAGCAGCTTCCCAGTCTGCAAAGCAGAACTTGTTTCCAAGCAATAGTTTCCCGGCTTTAGCAGTGCTGGCTGTTCTACAGTCTGGCCTTCCCATTTCTCTTTTGTCTTAATAAGGAATCGGATCAATTTGATTTGTCTTGTTTGCTCTTGTTCTGAGATAGACCTTGGTGCATATTGATGGTGTTCTGCCTGTAACTGCGTGAATTAGATTGAAGTCCCTTTTTTGCGGCATTCTCAACAAACTTACTCTAAATGTACTTTTTTTTTTTTACTATTTAGTTCATAAGGAAAGGGGGAAATCTGTTAAAAGAGTAGTAAGAGTCCCCTAACTGAGGATACATACAGAATTTTTAGAAAGAATGAAAGATTGGTGCTCATCTGATGGATTCTGTAAGTGTGAAGTCCAGACCTGCTTGTTTTACTGAGCACCACGGGGCCCGACTGGCCACGGGAAGGTCCGTTTGGCAAAATCCCCTTTTGGCTTGGCCTTAACAGTCAGTGGAATGGAGCAACCCTGAGAAGCTGTGCATGTTGGGCAGGCATAAGCACAGAAGTACCTCGGTCTGTGTCTACAAATTTGGCCAGCGCTAGCCACAAGGCCCAATTCTTGGTCAGCCTATGTGTTCGCTTAACGTTCTCCCCATTTCAGAGATCTTGCCAGTGCTTTTACAGTCAGTTGCGTGTAACTTCATTAAACTCTGCCTGAGGGCACTTGTAAGTAAAACTCTGGTTTTAATATGGGTGCTTCTTTGGCTGTCCAGGTGAAAAGCTACGCCTGCTGAAAGCTAAGCTTCAGGAGGCCATGAAGCTGCGCAGGACAGAGGAGCGCCAGAGGCGGCAAGCATTGTTCAAACTGGATAATGAGGAGGTGATGGAGGAGGAGGAGGAAGAGGAGGAGGAAGAAGAAGACATGACCGATGAATCTGATGAAGAGGAGGAAGAGAAAGGCAATCAAGAGGTCTCCCCCCTGCTTTTTAAAAAAAAAATTATTTGGTGACTGCACGTTTGTGTTCCTGTTCAGAACTGAGAGCTTTGGGAATCTATGTTGTGTTTAATTCTGGCTTTTTTGCTAAAGTGAGACTGCTCTTTCACACACACCCACGCAGACCTCTGTCATAATTTGATATCCTAAAAGCTTCCAGCGCTAGAAGCCATGGACTGAAATGTGGTTTGTTTTGTTCGGTCTTCTACATCCAGCAGCTGACTGGAGCCCACTGGGCAGCCTGTATCTGCAGGGCAGAGACAGCTGAGGGGGCCAAGTGGTGCTTCCTCATTGGCAGTCCCAGTGTGGCCCCGGTGGGTGGGGGTCCAGTGCGTCCCCTAACCACCATGGGATTGCCCTTCTCTGCTTTACCCGGCAGGACCAACACTGATCTCCAAAGCAAAGATAAGGCTTGACGGCAATATTGTACTCATTTCCCTGAGACTAAGCCTTACCGAGACTTCTGTATATATCCTATACACAGAATGTATGCACCTGTGTGTGTCGGTCTTTCGTACGTGTAGATATTGATGCTCCTGTATAACCTCTTTCAATCAAGAGCAAGCTCGCGGGATTAACTTTTGTGACCTGTTTGCAAGACTGCAATAAGAGTTTTCGCTTGTCTCGTGGAAATAGGCTCTTTAAAGGAATTGTTCTTTTTCACTCATTGAATTTCAGTATCTCTGTGTGTGTTCCATTAGGGCATAGAGTATCTTCTTGGTGAAGCAGAGGAGGAAGTGGAAGAGGAGGCCTTAGAAGATGGGGATAAAGAATCTGTAGATGAGGAAGAAGCGACAGAGGCTGTGAATCGCCGTGCTGTTCCGAAACCTTCCTCCACAGAATCAACTTTGCTGCTTTTCAAGGATAACTCTTCCAAAACAGGGTAAGCTTTCACTTCTCCCAAGTTATTTTTAATTTTGGAGTACACTTGCAAGACAAATACTGTGAGCCCCCACAAGATGTCTGTTGAAATACTATTAAGTGATACTAAGAGAATCTCACCAAACAGCAGTTTGTTTGTTTGTTCAGTTTATATACTGCCAATCTGTCCAAAAGCCACTCTGCGTGGTTATAAAACAAAAACTAAACTAGCAAAGCATAAAATCATAACAATAACTCAGCTATGGGGGGGGGAAGCATAACAACAGTCATCAAATAATTTAAAATGCATTCTAAAATAAATAGTGCATTTAAATTGTCAGTAATCAAGTGTCATTAGGCTGTCAGCTACAGTTTAAGTAGGCTCTGTATTTTGCAGTTGAGAGCATTCCTTTTTGTTAGCTTCTTTGTTTTTAAAGTTACGATAATACCTTTGAGCTAAAATTGTTTCTTGCAGATGTTTTTTTCCGAGCGAAAAGGCTGAAATAGAAGAAGCCACGGACAAAAGACCAAGCAAGCCTGGTAAACGCCTGCTTTTTGGGACTTGGTTCTCCGCCTTGTCTGTCTCATGATGTGTTTTTCTGGTTTTGAGCTTTGCGTTGTGTTCTCGAGACTTTTTTCTCGAGTAACATCTCATGACTGTTACATTCTCAAAATGCAAAAATGACGTGTGGAACTTATTTTGTGTTACTCCATGTCTGTAGAGACGTGTTGCACTATAGTTTGGTTAGAATTTAGTAAGGCCCCTCGGGAAACCGTCTTCAGGATGCATTGTGCCCACCGGCGGCCCTGCTCTAAATGATGTTGACCTTTGGATGGCTCAGAAGTCCACTGGATTTGCTAGGATGCAGAGTAACGATTAGAAGCCTATATCCGCCGGAAGTATCTAAAACACACATGCTAGTGTTTAAAGAATGTTTTGGAGAAAACTCCTATACCGAAGCTATGAAACTTAGAAGGAGAGGCATGAGATACAGATGCCGGGCAAATTATACCTGCCTAAACTTCTAGGATGAGGAAGAGACAATGGTTTTGAGCTTTGGAGGGAGCTGATGCTGTTTTGTGTAGTCTGAGTTGCTGTGACCTATTACTTGCATGTACTTTTGCAAGGCTTCCTGTCGTCCTCTCCGTGTGCTGCTCCAGGAGCTGTGTTTGAGAAGCTGCATCGTGTTTCAATGAGGCCATTCTTCCCTCTGCTCTTCCAGGCAGTAGCTTCTTGGCACGGCACTTGTCTTGACTGAAAATAGGCTGTTTGTTTGGTGGGATCAATTTGTTCTTGAAATCTGCACGCCCCATTTTTTATTTCACTAGATTAAGAGCACTCTTTAAAGAACACACTCCGTGGGCTGGGAATCTGCTTTGCTGCTGAAGAATGTCAGGTTTTGATTGTACGCGTGATTTAGCACGGGGCAATTCAGTTCAGCTGCTGCCCAGTTCTGTTGCAGATCTACCAGGGCTGAATTTGGCTTACAAGGCAACATCTTAATTGACTGTGAGCTTAAGAGCATAGGAAGTGGCCTTATACCAGATCACATTGCTGGCCTTTACCTATCTCATTATCATTTATACCAGTGGTTCCCAGCCTTGGGTCCCCAGATGTTTTTGTACTAAAGCTCCCAGAACCCTTCACCACCAGCTGTGCTGGCCAGGATTTCTGGGAGTTGTAGTACAAGAACGTCTGGGGACCCAATCTACTACACTAACTAGCAGCATTTATCCCTGTCTCACATGGAGATATACGGGGCCTTCCACATGCAGAAGGTGTCGTCTCTGAACTAGTTAGAGAGGCTTCCTTAGTCCTGCAGTGGCAGCTGTTAGAGCTGCATATAAGGAAAATGCAAAATAAAATTTCTGCTCATCTCTGCAGCTGAATGATTTTGTTAAGTTACTGGTTCTCTGCTTCCACAGCTTGTTTTTTATGAAGCCGAAGTATTGCTTTTTCCTGCTTGCAACTGGAACAAAAGTAAATAAGAGACGCACAACCTTAAGCGGTCGTGACAAGAGATGGCATTGAGCTAGCCAGCAAGAGGAGTTTGGTTAATTCGGATTACTGGTGTGGCAACCTGAAAACACCCAGACCTGAAGAAATATCAGCCAGCATTTGCAATATAGTGGATAATTCATATCCTTATTCTGTTTGATGTCTCTAAAACCAGTAAGAAGTGTTTTTTTTCTTTTCCTTCTTTTAGACGACGAAGATTCATTTTTGCTGCCAAACCTGGCAAAGGAGAACAGTCACAACAGCAGCTTTGAACTTATTGGTTCCATGATTCCATCCTATCAACCCTGTAATAAGCAAATGGCATGGAGGGGCGGCTTCCTGTCCACCCCTGCAGCTGTCCGCTCACCTTCCCCTGGGTTTTTCAAAACAAGCTTTATCAGCTCTGCTTCAAAAGTAAGCCTCCGATTCTTAACTGATTGCATCCATTCATTAGAAGAATAATTGTGCAATGTTTTGTAAGAGTAAGATTTGGAGCTTCCATTAATATGTTCCCTTCTTTTTCCTCCTCATTCCTTTTTATGACGTATGTTGTCTGTTGCTTGATTAAACAGTCTCCTTTACTTTGGTAAATAATCCATAGTATACATTTATGAAGTATGCATTTTACACAGAGTATTTCCCGTGTTGGAAAACAATTATCTATGTTGTAGACACAAGATACACAAACCCTCCTGGTTGTTCAGAGGGATATCATGATTGATGGCACCGGAAGTTGCCAAAAAGTCTAGGGGTCGGGGGGGGGCGATGGACAGTTTTGCACTCCTTTTTTTCTTCTTAGGTCATCCAGCAGGGCATTTAGTGTCCCTATAGTGCCAGAATCACTCCAGGAACAGGAATGAAACTGGACCTGAAAAGTCCTGCAAGCATGCCTGGGGTGGTGTGTCAGTCTGAGCAATTTGTCCCAGAAATAAAGCTTTTGAGCCAGCTGGCTGTTGTCATGGCCCTGAGAGTCTTAAGTGGCCCTATGACTAACCTTTCCAACACATCCAGATCTGCTTCCTCTTGGTCCAGGCACTTAACAGCTTCATGGATCCAGCAAACGTATCTTCTGCACTGACGGGTTTCTTGGTAACAACAGTCATTTAGTCCCTCTGACCTGCTGTGCTGATCCGTCTCTTGGGTTTTATATGTCACAGGCTGGCAGGCCTTTTTGGCTTAACCTTCCATTTCCTCAGAACTGATTCCAGTCTCATGGAGCTTTCGTTTATATGTCGCATTTTCTTCTTCTGCCTTACGTCTTTCCTTATTACTACCCGGCTGAATTTTAGTCTTTGTATGGGGAAGGTCGGCCTTCTAGTCTGCCGTTCCTGGGCCTGATTACGTTCTTTTTGGCATCTGCTCAGAGTTCGGGAAAGGCATCTGAGCCTTCTTTACCTATAGAAGATTCCCAAGATCTCTACAATGGCACACCAGAAGAGAAAAGCCCAGTTCGAGCAGCCGGGAGCTTCCCATTTCAGTTTTCCCTGGAAGATGACACTCAGAGTCAGTTGCTTGATGCAGATGGGTAAGTTACTGGTAAATGGGAAAAGTGGCTTCCTGGTTCAGGCAGTGCTTTTAGGATTGCACATCAGTGGTGCAATCCAAAGCCTACCTCCTAGAGAATATGTTGCATTAAAGACAGCAGGACTTCCTCCAGCTAAGCATGCATAAGACCATGTGGCCTCTCGGCCTGTAAAAGCCAACAGGGTGCTAAAATACACCCATCCTTCTGTAATCTGCTGCTTGCTATCAAGAAGCAGAACTGGATTGTTCCCTGTTGTGAGGCTGCTGGAAATTGAATCCAGCTGCTACTATCAGCTTCACTGGTTGCGGAAACACTTCAAGACTTCACACTCTCGGAGGGTGTGTGTGTAGGGAGAGAAAATGTTGATGCAAAATGCTGCATATTTAGCCCTTTTTGTGGAGACAGGCATGAATCCTGAAGACTGAGTAGAAGGGAAGCTATAGAAGGGGGGATAGAGGGTGTGTGTGTAGGGAGAGAAAATATTGATGCAAAATGCAGCATATTTAGCCCTTTTTGTGGAGACAGACATGGAGTAGAAGGGAAGCTATAGAAGGGGGGATTTTCCCATCCTCATTCCCCCTGCACCTCCCCGATGCAACTCCCTAAAATGCCTCTCCGAGTAAGGCCAGGGGGCTACTAGGTAAGGCATGAATTAGCCGGATTCAGGTAGAGGTGCTTGGCATGACCAGAGCAAGGGAAAGGGTCCCTTCTCTCTGTTGAAGGTTCTCAAGGCTTAAGCCATGGGATCTTCAAGCCTTGCTAGGAGTTGTAATCCATATGGGTCACCTTTCCAAGTGCTGCGATCCTGCCTGTGGAACCCTGTAAGCCTGCTGTCTGACAACAGCAGAGGAATCCTGACCTTGGCTTCCAGGTTTTTGAATGTTGGCCACCAACGGAACAAATACCAGCCGCCCAAGGACCGCCTGCCTTTGGCTAGCATGGACGAGAATGCGATGGATGCCAACATGGATGAGCTGCTGGACCTGTGCTCTGGGCAGTTTGCCTCCCAGGAGAAACACGTCGGCACCGGCGGTGGCAAGAAGCCGAACATGGAGGAGCTCCTCAACCTCTGCTCTGGAAAGTTTGCGTCTCAAGGTGAGGCCTAAGAGGAACGAAAAACCTGGGTACAAGTTGGAGTTAAGTGCCCTGCAGGTCTACAGAGCTTGATGATAAAGTCTCTGTGCCAGGTCCCTTATTCAAACTCGGATGCTTATAGGAACTACAACAGAAGGGGGAGCAGGGGTACCAATATCTTTAGCTCTTGTCTGTGTTTTTAAAAGTAAATCTTGCTTTTTTGGGGGGGGGGGAATTTCCTTTTTTAAAATACAATGACCCAGACAGCTCAAAGCACAAGCAAACTGGCTTAAAAGAAGAGGTGGACAATAGATTAATAAAAGGGTCTAATTAAAAGCACCAGATGAAAACTTTAAGGAAGACTGGATGAAAGAATATTTTTATGCTGTGACGGTAGGTCATCAGCATGGAAGTTCCGTGATAGGGGATGTGAATGCTGTAAAAGCCCTCTGCTACATCCTATCCAGATAGAAATCAGCTGCGGGTGGCATGTTGAATAAAGGGCCTGGGTAACAATGTGGACGAAATCTTCTAAAGATGAGAGGATGCTCTTCTTTAAGAATTACTATTTGTAACCTAATTTCAAGATCGCGTGTTCTAAAACAGTAGCTATAAAACCATAGGACAGTGGAACAGCAATAGACCCTGAAATGGGGCAGTTCACAACATCTCGAAACTATAAACCCTAGAAACAAAAAGCAGGGTGAAGTCTGAGCAGGAATGTGCATTTCCAGGAGGGCCCCAGATGCTTCTTTCCATTTAATAAGAGTCAGGATGTTTCAAAGTACAACACTGTATTGGAGAACGCTTTTATCTGAGCCCCTCCCTGTTCAGGCTTACTGGGAATGTGCAACTAAGAGCACAATTCCATGGCATGATTCCTTCTTACCATGCCCCTTAAACAGTGTTCTTGCCACTCCTCACATTTGATCTTGACAAAATCAGATTGTGCCCATAGGCATATTCCTCATAATTTTTTCCCCCCAACCCCGGTTGTTTTCTCAGATTCTCCTATTCAAGCTTCTTCAGCCACCCCTGGACAAGAGAAAGAGCAGAGCACAGATGACCCCATGGCCGAGGCACTCGCTCTTTGCTCTGGATCTTTTCCAACTGACCGGTAGGCTTGGGCCAAATTTCAAGTGGCTTCTTGCTCACTTGAAGAGCTGGTGACACAGGAGAGGGTGCGGGTGTGGGTCCGTCTCTTGCATTTAGGTTTCCGGTAGTCAAGGACGTGTCGCACGCTCCACATCCTGAGTCAGACTTTGTTCCACCTTAATATAAAAGGTTTCCCTCGTCCCTGACAGGTGCTGGTCCTTTTTTGCTATTCATATTTTCTCTTCCTCCAAGTAAGTTGGGCATCTGGCTGCCGAACAAGATGTTGGGAGGTGGGTTCCCCTCTAAGATTCCTGGGAACAGCCAGCCTGTGTAGTCATGGGTAAGCTGCAGAGGCCTCCGATGCCTTCAGAAGAAAGGAATGGGAAACCACTTCTGAGTACTATGTATCTAAAAAAACCAAACCAAACCAAATTGACTTGAAGGCACATGGGTTGCTATGATTTCATAATCCATACAACATGATGTTGAGAGTGATAGCACCTTGAAAGCTTCTCATAGAGAAGAGGTTGGCCTCTAAGCTGCCCTTTCACTTTCGCCTCGTTCGTCCTGTTCTGTTCCGGCGAACGAGGTGAGTCAGGCAATACAATGACTAAAGCTGCTGAACATTTATTTAAGATGTTTTTACCCTGCCTTTCTCTTTAACAAGGAGCCAAGGCGACTTCTGTCAAAGTTGTCCGCCCTGCAGTAAGCCCAGCGGCTCAGCCAGTGTCCTTTCTCCCTGCCCTTTCCTTGTAGGGAAGCAGAAGACGAAGAAGAGAAGGAGTCTGAAGACTTCAAGCTTTTAGCCGATGACAATGCCTTTGATAGCGAAGAAGTGAGTACTGAATACTTCTGCAGCTTTTCCCAAAACGGAACATGAAGTATGTGTATGCGTTATACAATAAAAATGCAATTTCCGCTGGAGGTAAGGAGCCTATGATGGTTCTCCTCGGTGGATCAGCTCCATTTCTTCCATGGTGGTCAGTTTGTTTGGCAGACTCAAAGCTGATGAGCAGAGCTATGGGTCCCCAGGGTAAAACGATGTTCATTCGGCACAGGGCCTTCTCCGCAACCCTTTGTAAATTAAACATATTAAGCAGATTTTCATATGTTTTTGTGTAATGGTACAATTGATGCTGAAACCCCACCCTGAAATACAGTAGGACCATGATATCCGTGGGGGGGTTGGTTACAAGCCCCCCTGTGCATGTCAAAAAAAGTATGGAATATCGTAAATTGCATGGACTATTTTTCTTTTTCAAAAAACGCAAAAGTATGGAACATCGTAAATTGCATGGACTATTTTTCTTTTTCTCGCTAGTGGCCAATTCTGAGACGTACACTGTGGGAATATGTATAACTATTTCTGAGGGTTTTTTTATTTAGTATTTCCTGGGAATATGTAGAACTATTTCTGAGGGTTTTTTGATTTAGTATTTTCAGACAGTGGGTAAGTGAATCAGTGGATACTGATCCGGCAGGTAGGGGAGGCCTCCTGGACTGACATTCTTGACCAGTCACCCTGAGGCTGATGAAATTTCAATAGACTTTGCCCACGTTGTTCCAAGCCTGTTTCCTAGTGAACAGAGTTAACAGTGCTACAGGAATTTCTGAATGCAGGTTTTTGGTTTTTTTTGTTTGTTTGTTTTTCTAACAGCGTTACAGGAATTTCTGAATGCATGTTTTTGTGGGGGCTTTTTTGTATTGTTTTGTTTTTGATTGCTAGGAGGAGAAGAGCAAAGGGGAGGAAGAGGAGGAGGAAGAAGAATTGCTAGGAGGAGGAGAGCAAAGGGGAGGAGGAGGAGGAGGAAGAAGAAGAAGAAGAGGAAGAACTGGGTGAATCAGAAGTTGATGATGAAGAAGAAGTATTGAGACGAAGAGAAGGGCTGAAAAAGAAATTGTAAGTCAATCCTGCTGGCATGGCTGTCGCAGAACAGTCGTGTGTGTTCCATATATAAATTAACATATCTGAAATTAAAACAGCTAAAAAGTCTGCACTTGAGGGATCCCGGCAGCAGAACTGTCAGGTGCTTGGTGAAGAAGACAAATTAACTTTAAGCGGTGAAATCAGTATGGTGATGTAGCAACTAAGGCTTCATAGGGATCGTCCCAGCCGACAGCTCAGCTTAAAATGTGCTGGATGTTAAAAGGGGCACAGAAACCGAGCCGTAGGGAGATCACTGCCAACTTGCATTCTTTAACGAATGGCTAACGGAGGCTAGGAAGTGTTTCTCTGGGCGTACATGGGTGAGCTTTATTGCAAAGCTGAGTTCATGTCAGAAATGTCTTTTCAAGCTTCCCAAGATAGGATTCACTCCAGCTTGTAAAGATTCAGGGATTTAGGCTCATGTTGTGCCTGTGTTAGGTTTGGATCTAAGACATAACTGTTTGCTCATAGCAGGTGGAGAAACAGGGTCTTTTTTGAAACTCTGGAGAGCTGGATCTAACCCTTCTTGCCAGCCATGTGTATTCTTTGGGGGCAAAAGGAATGATGAGGCTACTGTGGTGAATACGAGTTCCTTAAACCCTGAGAAATCAACTTGTATCTCCTCCCCTTTCCACCAAACCATTCAGCAAATTGCAGGACTTCATGGAGGAGGAGGCAGAGCTGTCAGGGAGCGACGTGGCCAGTGAGGATGAGTATGATGGCGAGGAACTCGATGAGTACGAAGAAGAAGAACTTGATGAGGTGCTCCCTACTGCGGTGGAACTCCAGGACCAAGTCAACAAAATACACATGTCAGTATATTATGACCCACGTTAAAAGTCTTTATGTGTCTTTTCTTGGCCTATGAGATTTCCGGAGCAATGGACTGCTAGAAGATAAAAAAAAACTTCCTTAAAAAAAGATTAAAAGCCATTTAAAAACTGGAGTTAAAAGTCAATAATTTTTAACAACTAATCAGCAACTCTAAAAGCCAGCCTTAAAATACCAAAGGCCGCATGGAATGGCACAGTTCTGGCTGCCCATGAATGGGATCACAGGGGATAGCGCCAGCCTGGGCTCCGTTAGGAAGGAATTCCAGAAACTGAGGTGTTGCTGCAGAGAAGGTTGGGTCTTGTGTCTTCACCAGCCTAGCGTCATGGGGTGGTGGGATGTGCCAGGGGGCCTCAGCTAAAAACCTCCAGCTGTCGAGAGCTGTAGCCGGAAATGCATTCGTGCGTGTGCTTAAATTTGTGTTGGTGCTTTTCCTGGAAAGTTCAGCCTCTGTCTTGAACAAAGACCCGTCTGTGTATTACTTCAGGAAAGTGACGCTAGATGATGACAAACGGCAGCTGCGCTTGTACCAGGAGAGGTACCTTGCCGACGGAGACCTGCACCATGATGGCCCCGGGCGGATGAGGAAGTTCAGATGGAAGAACATAGGTATGATTTTGGCATCTTAGAACCAGGAAGGTTGAAGGGAGCATGCGTCCCTAATTAAAGCACCGCTATGAGCTGTGCTTTAATTAGGGAAGCAAACTGTTCAGTTAGTAATCAGTCACCAGCCTCAGCCGCCGGAAGTAGTAACGGCCACAAATACAGCAAGGTTCAAAAAAAGAAGAGGAGAATGATTTGTTCAAGATGAGCTTCTCAGCCGCTGTTCAGAGGATGCTGGGACATCTATACGAAGGATCTGGGTCATGATAACAGATGTCCGGGGGGCAGTTCTTTATGCGCTGGTTCTACAAGGTCTACGCTGGGTGCCTTCAAAGTTCTGCCTCTTTCCCCTCCTGATCACATCACGGAGGTGCGGTTTGAACTCTGTTCGAAAATCACACCTTCTCCTCAGGCCGCGACTCCTTTCTGCTTGCTTGTTTTTGAAATAGAATGTTCAGCTATGATGGTGAGAAATAATTCCCTTTCTGCATCTGTCATTAGATGATTCATCTCAGATGGATATGTTTCACAAAGACGCTGACGACGAAGAGAATGAAGATCATCCAGACGAGTCAGAAGCCGTGTGGAGGAAGGAGCGCTTTGAACGGGAGCAGTGGCTTCGGGAACAGGTGACCTGCTAGCCAAGTTGGCTGGGTTCTGACTCCTGTCCCCTGAAGATGCCAGCCGCCAAGACTGGCGAAACGCTAGGAAGAAAAACCTCCAGAACACGGCCAGATAGCACAAAAAACCTACAACAATCATCAGATCCCGGCCATGAAAGCCTTCGAGAATACGTTAGGATGAGCAGTCATTTCATAAGCAAACAGCTTAACTGATATTGTTTTGAAGTATAATTGCCTGCGCTAGTCTTAAAATACTGCTGTCAGTGGCTTGTATAGTAAAATTTTTATTTTTATTTTGCAACTTGGTGGTCTATCAGAAAAATATGTCAAGGAGAATTTAGTCTTTTTAAAAACAAGTCTGCATCTGTATACTTAGAGGTGCATACTTTACATCTATATTTCTTTTGTACTGCATATGAGCAAGCCACAAACACATTTGGAAACATATTATTTGTTAAAGAAATGGGATTAGCCGCAGTTCCGCATGGAGGGGGACCACTCATTGACAGCTGGGCTTGGCATGGAAGTGTTCTAAATCCTGGGTTCTGTTGAGGGAAGGGTTCCATAATGTACCGTATTTTTCGCACCATAAGACGCACTTTTTTCCCACAAAACAGGGAAAGTCTGTGTCTTATGGAGCGAAGAAAACTCCTGGGTTTTTCATTATCCGAGATCAACAGATTGCAGGATGAGTTAAGATCTCATCTGTGCAAATCCTCCAGCACGGGTGCAGAAGTGCTGGATAGCTCAGTGGTTGAGGCATCTGGCTGCGGAGACAGAGGGTGGGAATTTGATTCCCTCGCTGTGATCCAGAGGATCCCTTCCAGCTCTGCCGTTCTAAGATTATTATAATAATATTTTCTTTACTATTATTATCATTCGCTGTTTCGTTATCAAGTTTAAGAATCTCGGAGAAGTGTTTAGCAGGCAATGTGGGTGAAGAAGCTTGGAAGTTCTGTGTCTTTGCCTAAATCTCAATATATACTGAGTCTTTGTCTTTATCTAAACTGTTACATCAGAACAACATAGAAATATATTTACAAACATGGTTTATTTGTCAGAAAATTAGGATGAACATGGTTGTTGTAGGTTTTTTAGGCTGTCTGGATGTGTTCTTGAGTTTTTTCTTCCTAACCTTTTTCCAGTCTCTGTGGCCAGCATCTTCAGAGGACAGGAGTTAGAACTCTGTCTGTGTTCTGGTGTAGTGTGTGGGATACTTGAGTATCTGTCTATGCTCTGGGTTCTGACTCCTGTCCCCTGAAGATCCCGGCCACCGAGACTGGCGAAACGCTAGGAAGAAAAACCTCCAGAACACGGCCAGATAGCACAAAAAACCTACAACAATCATCAGATCCCGGCCATGAAAGCCTTCGAGAATACGTTAGGATGAGCAGTCATTTCATAAGCAAACAGCTTAACTGATATTGTTTTGAAGTATAATTGCCTGCGCTAGTCTTAAAATACTGCTGTCAGTGGCTTGTATAGTAAAATTTTTATTTTTATTTTGCAACTTGGTGGTCTATCAGAAAAATATGTCAAGGAGAATTTAGTCTTTTTAAAAACAAGTCTGCATCTGTATACTTAGAGGTGCATACTTTACATCTATATTTCTTTTGTACTGCATATGAGCAAGCCACAAACACATTTGGAAACATATTATTTATATTTTCTTTACTATTATTATCATTCGCTGTTTCGTTATCAAGTTTAAGAATCTCGGAGAAGTGTTTAGCAGGCAATGTGGGTGAAGAAGCTTGGAAGTTCTGTGTCTTTGCCTAAATCTCAATATATACTGAGTCTTTGTCTTTATCTAAACTGTTACATCAGAACAACATAGAAATATATTTACAAACATGGTTTATTTGTCAGAAAATTAGGATGAACATGGTTGTTGTAGGTTTTTTAGGCTGTCTGGATGTGTTCTTGAGTTTTTTCTTCCTAACCTTTTTCCAGTCTCTGTGGCCAGCATCTTCAGAGGACAGGAGTTAGAACTCTGTCTGTGTTCTGGTGTAGTGTGTGGGATACTTGAGTATCTGTCTATGCTCTGGGTTCTGACTCCTGTCCCCTGAAGATCCCGGCCACCGAGACTGGCGAAACGCTAGGAAGAAAAACCTCCAGAACACGGCCAGACAGCCCGAAAAACCTACAACCATCAGATCCCGGCTGTGAAAGCCTTCGAGAATACATTAGGATGAGCAGTCATTCCATACGCAAACAGCTTTAACTGATATTGTTTTGAAGTATAATTGCCTGCGCTAGTCTTAAAATACTGCTGTCAGTGGCTTATATAGTAAAATTTTTATTTTTATTTTGCAACTTGGTGGTCTATCAGAAAATATGTCAAGGAGAATTTAGTCTTTTTAAAAACAAGTCTGCATCTGTATACTTAGAGGTGCATACTTCACATCTATATTTCTCTTGTACTGCATATGAGCAAGCCACAAACACATTTGGAAACATATTATTTGTTAAAGAAATGGGATTAGCCGCAGTTCCGCATGGAGGGGGACCACTCATTGACAGCTGGGCTTGGCATGGAAGTGTTCTAAATCCTGGGTTCTGTGGAGGGAAGGGTTCCATGATGGCTTCAAACCTGCTCCTACGATTTTGCTTCCCGCCCAAAAAAAAGATGTACCGTATTTTTCGCACCGTAAGACGCACTTTTTCCCCACAAAACAGGGGGGGTGGAAAGTCTGTGCGTCTTATGGAGCGAAGAAAACAGATTATATTTTCCTGTTTTCTTCTCCTAAAAAATTGGTGCGTCTTATGGAAAGGTGCGTCTTATGGAGCGAAAAATACGGTATTCTGGGGTAGATGCTTTCATAGCCTGCATAGAGACGGAATCTTTGGGGAGGGTGGAGTTCATGATCCTCTTAGAACTGCAGGGCTGGAAGGGACCCTCTAAATCATCCAATCCAGCCCCTGTCAAGGAGACCCAGTGTGGGAATCGAACTCCCAACCTCGGGTTCCCCAGCCAGAGGCCTAACCTACTGAGCAATCCAGTAGTTCTCTCCACACACCATGTTTTTCAGCCTGTTCTCTGCCCCTTTCTTAAATGCATTTTTTTAAAAAACCGAAAAAGACATAGCCACTGCCTGGTAAAAGGGTGTTTGCTTCACTATCTGTCTTAAATGCATTTTTTAAAAAAACCCAAAAAAGACATAGCCGCTGCCTGGTAAAAGGGTGTTTGCTTCACTATCTGCGTCTTCCGCAGGCTTGTTTACTAATTCCTCCTTGTTTACAGCTGTTTGGCTTAATGAAGGTTCTGCTTGTTTTCAGTCTGAGAAAGGGGAGGAGGAGGAGGATATTATTGACGAGGACAGCCAGTTCATGAAACTTGCAAAGAAAGTCACCACCCGGTCCCTGCGAAATAAAGGTACCTCTCAGGGTTTGAACGGGAACTAGCAGAGCCTTCGCAATGAAGGACGGGCGGGGGGGGTCGGAGTTGACGCAGGAATGCCCCTCCCTGCTCCACATTCATGGCTGTTCATTTTGCACATGAACATTCCTGGCTGATGCGCCCCTCCCTGCTCCACATTCCTGGCTGTTCAAAACATTTTGCACATGAACATTCCTGGCTGATGGTTTTGCTTTAAAATCTCAATAAGCTAGAGAATGGCTTGGAAATAGAATGCACAAAGTACTAGGTTCACCAAATTGTAAAACCCATTAATACCGTTGTAAATGATCCACAGGGAAGCAACTGCAATAAAGTACCCAGCGTGGTTAGAAATAGAGATGAGGGGGGAAACTGCTGGTTCAGCAGTTCACGCTGGTTCGTTCTTCGCCTGAACGGATGGTTGGCACTTCCCCGCCCCAGCTCCCCCTGGCAGGTCCCCACCAACTTCTTTGTGGTGGCACCAGCTCCCGGTGGAGCTGTGGTCGGCCCCCTCCTTTCTGACATTTAGAAGGCATCTCAAAGCCTTGGTTTTTAGAGAGGTCTTCCATAATGATCCTGCTTGACTTCATGGCTCAAATCCTGCCTATCACAGAGACAATGTGCCTTGGTGTCATTTGCTTTATTTTTTTGACTGTTTTTATAATTTTATTGTTCTAGGTCTGTTTATCTTATCATATACAAAATAAATAAATAAATACTTGAAACAACAACTTTCTTCTAGGAACCCCCACCGTTGCTGTTCAGGAAACCAAGTCGCTCCCCAGAAATCCATTTGAAACTTTTTGTCCTGCCAGCAACCCAAAGGTTAGTTGCCGGGCGGGGTGCTCTAAAAAATTAATGCAATTGGAGCGCCAAAATAGAGGTAGGTAAGCTTTGTTTTTGGGTGTCAGAGGGGTAGCCATACTTGTGAATATGTGAGGGAGACTCATCAGATGTGCCTCCGAATAACACTTTCCCAATTTCCCAGCTAAAGAACGGGTCCCTGTTGAACCGGCCCAAGGCCGTTTTGGAGAAGCTGGCCACCATGTCGAATCTCAACCCAAACGCCCCCAGGAACTCGCGGAATTTCGTCTTCCAGACGCTCTCCCCTGTGAAGACTGAGGCATCGAGGGAGACATCAAAAGCGCAGGTAGCCCGTCTGATTTATTTGAGCAGTCAATAACCTCTGCTGGGTTCTCACATTTTATTTGTTACACTGGCTGTGCTTAAGGAGCACTGGCTCTGGATGGAGTTTTGTGTTCTTCGTCAGCAAGCGGAGGTGAGACAGTAGTGGTTTGTACCCAGACGACACCATTGAAAGGAGAGCTTGGGTGTGTTTTTAGTGTCTGTGTCCAAAGACTTCTTTTTTATGGATATGTCATGGAGTTCAAAGTCCCTTGTATAGGTTGTGAATGATAAGTGCACTCCACATGTGTACATATCCACATTCAATAGTGCTTCGCTTGTGTTAGATTATCTTTGATAACCATGTCAGGGAAGTTCTGTGCCAAAAACAGAGGGTGGGTGCTGTGAACTAGGTGGGCTGCAAGTCTACTCTTTGGCTGACGCTTGCAAAGTCTTACGGCCACCGAGTAGCTCACAGTTCAAAGCTCTGGTGGACTGACATGCCTGGTCTGATGGCTCCTGACGTCTTCTAGGTCATCAAGAAAAGGGCTCCCGTTTCCATTGCAACGCCTCCTCCCAAACGGCTACGTCCCGACAGTCCTTCAGCTCAAGGAACCCGGAGTATATTCCAGTACTTGGAGAGGTGAAAGGTGCAGAGGGGTTTCCCTGTGGGTGCCACGCCTGGTCCTCTTCCAGCTGCTTTCTGCACGGCCCGGGAGTCAAGATTTGGCTCATGCCTGCCTCTAGTCTGGAACAGCCCTGTATGGATAACAGCCACTTTAAACGTGATATGCTGGGGTGTATCACTCCACCTGAATCCTCAGATAAGAAGGAGAGCAAGAGAAAGGATGTCCTTTATCCGTCAGATGCATCTTCAACTGTATTGTAGTATTAATTGGACCTGTATTTTTTTTGTATTGGCCTCTTCCCGGACTTCTGTGCTGTGTGGCGCTCCTCTGTGTTGAGGTAGCCATGCTTCCATCTTTTTTCTTTTTTTACTACTTCAGAGGCTGTGTGCTACATACCCACCCCTTCTTTCCTTAAGGCAGTTAGAAGCACCTTGATTTCGTATCTTGGAAAGTTTCAGCTTATGTTTTTTTAATTAGGGTTTTTACACATATTGCTCTAAAGACAATTCCATTTTGTAGAACAGGCTTTTAATTTTTTTTTTAAGATGAAACCTTCCAGGATAAAATTAAGAAAGGGGAAAGGTTTCTTCTGCCAACCGTGTCTTCATTTTAAATCGCCCATATAATTTTATGAGCATTCCAAAGGTCTGAAAATGAACAAAGGAGATCTAAAGAAAAGGATTTCGTTTAAAGCAATGAGGTTGGATTTTAAACCAGGAGATAAATGGAATTACACAACGTGCTTCTGACTCTGTTTGGAAGATCTTGCACTGAAGACTTTTATATACAGTTGCATCCTGCTGGGTTCTTAACATTCTCCAAAGCCATTCCGCCCGTGTTTGAAGACGGTAATCCCAGACTGTATATTTAGTGTGTGTAAAAATAAAAAAAAAATAAAGTGGTGTATATGGTGTCTGTAAAGGATGTGATGCGTGGGGGATCTTCCATCTCGGTAGGGCCAGTTTTTGAGTTTGCTGGCAGGTCAGACAAAAAATGAAGGCAGAACAAGACATGCTATCAGGACAGAACATGTCATTCTAACATTTCCAGTACATCACAACCCCCGTAAGTACAGTAGGGGGCCCCTCTACGGGATCAGTATCCATGGATTCACTTATACATGGTCTGAAAATATTTTTTTTAAATCCTAGAAATATGTTTCTAAAGATAAAACAACCCCCATAAGTACAGTAGGACACACACACACCCCCGCTACAGGATCAGTATCCATGGATTCACTTATCTGTGGTCTGAAAATATTAAAAATACATTTTTTAAAAATCCTAGAAATATGTTTCTAAAGATAAAGTTACCAGAGTTGGACACTAGAGAGAGCCAGAGACCACGCTATGAATAGCATTTGCTATTAAAATAGCATTGGATAAGTACAGTAGGACACACACACACCCCCGCTACAGGATCAGTATCCATGGATTCACTTATCTGTGGTCTGAAAATATTAAAAATACATTTTTTAAAAATCCTAGAAATATGTTTCTAAAGATAAAGTTACCAGAGTTGGACACTAGAGAGAGCCAGAGACCACGCTATGAATAGCATTTGCTATTAAAATAGCATTGGTTATAATCTGCGTTTCCCAGCATCCACTAGGGGAGGACTTGGGACTGAGCCGTTTTCCCCTAAAGCCTTATGATGCTGAAAACCTCTCTGTCTTGTGGCATCAGGAAGAACTGTACCAACGGCACTCATTGTGGATTCTCCTTCTGGACAGTGCTAAGCTCTTGCGGATGCTCTTCCTCTTTGTGTTGTGATTCACCCTTGTGACTGCTTCCAAGAGAGAGAGAGGGTGGTGTGGGAGGTATATTTATTTAAGAACAAATGTCGTTTTAATGCATGCCTCTACACAGAGCTGGGCCATGCAGCTTTGCAGCTCTGCACTGCAGTTCCCATCATCCTTCTCCGTTGGCTGTGCTATTGAAGGCTGATGGGATATGAAGTCCAGCCGCCATCTGGAAAGCCCCACGTGGCCCACCCTGATGTAGAAAATGAAAGCGATGTTTTTGTCTTTTGAAAACGAAGCATTTTCCTTCAACCCAGTGTTACAGAATTGTTAAAGATGGCAAGGCACCTAAAGCTCATCCCGTCTCAACCCCTACTTGATGCAAGGAATCCATAGCTCAAGCACCCCTGACAGGTAGCAACCCAGCCCTTGCCTAAAAAACTCTCTGGGGAAGAACAGCCCATCCTCTCCTACCAACGGTCTCTTCCGCTCTCAAGCAGCTCTCTCCCTTAGCACACTTTCCCCACCCCGAAGTTCGTTCAAAATACCTCTTGCAATTTAAATTCATTGGTTTGGGCCCTACCGCTGGGAACACAGAAAACAGGTTTGCTCCCGGTTGTACGTGATCGGCCTTTTAAAGGGGGGTTTGCCATCAGATCACCTTTCTGCCCTCTCTGGGCTCAATGTAACCACCATGTTCCGTCGTTCTTCACATCGCTTGGTTTCCAAACCCTTTCCCATCCCAATTGCCTCTGGACATTTTCTACCTTGTTGGTAATTTTTTTTAAGCAACGGTGCCCAGAAGTGGATGATAAATAGACCCACACCTTTCAAGCTTTAGTATAGAGACAATTCGGGTCCCAGCAACACCTCCTGCCAGAGACGGCAGCAGGAATGTGCAAAGGCTAAATTGTCTTTCTTATTAACACTTGCAGGCTAGTATTTATTTTCTCTTGGGAATATTTACAGATAAACTATTTGCTTGCCAGTGATTTCTTTTCCTACACAAGACAAAAGGCATGACATTTAAGGGCTAAATTGTCTTTCTTATTAACATTTGCAGGCTAGTATTTATTTTCTCTTGCAAATATTTACAGATAAACTGCATTTGTTTGTCAGTGTGGTTTTTTCCCTACACAAGACAAAAGGCATGACATTTAAGGTCTATCGGTTGGTTCAAAATTTAGCTTGGGAGTAGGGTGTCCCCGCCCATTTTCTGAGCTAGAGGACCGCTGCTCTTTACCCTCTCTGTCCTTATGAGCCTAAATGCATTGCCAGAGAAGTCTGCAGCTGTGATGCTCAAGTCTCCCTAAGGTGCCTATGACGTTCGGGCAGGGAGTTCCACAGGCCACAAATCTACAACTTTGTGCTGAGGCAAGTCCTCAACCTCCAGCAGTGCATGGCATCTGTGCCTTGAACAAGCGAGATTCCCATAGGTTGTGAACAAGGCATGGAAGATGCTGCAGTTGTTGAGTGCTGCAGCGAAACATTTTGCAACTGTTCGGTCAGGGGAATGGTGGAAAACCAGAGAGGTGTGACTGCGGCCCTTCTTAGCATAACCAGTCCACAGGAAAGGAAATTAAAAGGCGTTTAAAAGGCATGCAGGCTAGAGATGGACTGAAGTCTCTGTTACAGGCTACTATTGCAAACATGTTTTTAGTAACCTCTTTCTCTCCCTCCTGCTCCTCCATCCCAGCCTCCCACCCTGGCTGCTGGGATGCGTTCTTGGGGTGGGCGAGTTCGGCTGGAGGCGCTTGCTGAATTAGATTTGCTTTCTTTTCCTGAGTGAGCCGAGTAGAAGCAGAAGCAAGCGGGGTGGGGTGGGAAGCCACGAAGCTATTTGTTTGTCTTGTCTAATTTAATTTATGTTATTTATCAAAGAGACAGGCTATTTGAGAAGCCAGATGGATCCAGGCTAAAAAAGGCACGGGGTTTTCAAGGTGTGAAAAATGAGTTTTTTTGTGGTGGACAGGCTGAAAACCTTTGAGTGTGTTTTTTCGGGGGACCTCTGGATTTTTCATCGCCCTCCTTTTCCTTTCCATCTAATCCTAGCCCTTAAGTTTAAAGGACACTGGTTATGTCCTAAGGTGAGGCAGGGCAGTATAGTTCTCCTTAAAAGAGAGAGAGAGATTGAGGTCAACACAATTTTTGTTTTCATTACATTAAATATTTCTGGTGAGGGATGACTTGACTCTACCCTTGGAGCGATGAAATTGGTAGTTCTTTGGCAAGTGCAGAAATCAATAACAGTATTCTTGTCCTTTGGGCTTATTTCTTCCCATCTTTCTTTATCAGAAAAACAAGACCACACACCAGTGGTTGTGTTAACACATGCAGATAGACTCGTGTGTTTTGGCTTCCTGTAGTTGCAGCTTGAGATCTCCATTTACAAGCCCGTCACTTTTCCTACCCTGCATTTGTCTGTTTATCTCACTGTTGCCGTGCTTGAAGAAGTGAACTAATCCAGAAAAGCTCCCATTGAAGTGAATTTGTTCTAGTGAAGGGTGCCTCTGGACCTCCGTTTTGGGTTTTTTGCTGGAACAGCCTAACACAGGTACTTCTTTGGAAATGAGGCCCCAGCTTTTTGTGGTAGGAGTGTGGATTTTTCTTTGTCTCATCTAGTCGTTTAGTCGTGCCCGACTCTTCGTGACCCTATGGACCGGGATTTTTCTTAGGGAATAACAAATAATAATCATGTCATCAAGTCAATGACTTGACTTGGAACAACCCTTATCCAGCTGGTATCTCTGGGTGGAATGGAAGGAGCCCCATCTTGGTTTTGCCTCAGCCGTGTGTGTGTGTGTGTGTGTGTGTGTCCATCTGTCAATGGAAGCCTGCTGGTTCTGATGCCAGTAAGGAATGAATTTGCTCCGTATTCTACTGTGAACCTTAAAGTAGCTCTCCATGGTGCTGAAGTCTACTTCGGTGGCAAGGTTTTGCACCTTTGGTAGTGCTTGGCATGTTTGGATCAAAACAGATTCGCAGCCCTGCTGAAAATCACCAGGGCCACCTCTGAAAGGCACTGAGTTTCGTTCTACTATTGATTAACTCTATGTGTTTATTTGTTGGATGGATTAGTGGAAACTAGAGTTGCTATTAGGGAAGAATGCAAAGAGACCATTCCTGTAGTGAAAAGAAAAGAAAAGCCTAGATTGATGGCAGAAAAATGGGAAGCAGAAGTAAAAAAAAAAATAGAGTCAAAGAGAATTTGTCTCTGTGTTTGTGAGTCCTGGAGCCACATGCATCCATAGTCTAAATTGGGTACACCCCTGTGTTACCCCCACACATACATGAACGTTCCTTCCCCAGCACCACTTCACCTGAGATTTGCCTTCCTGCATGGAGAACTGGAAAAACAGCCGTTCCCTAAGACATGAGCTGGTAGCCACAGACCTGTCCACCCTACCGACCAATCTCCCATGTGAACTTCACACAGGCCAGCATCTCCTGTAAGGCAATGCAAGTCCGGGATGTATTGCAATTGTTTGATGGGTGAACTACACAAGGTTCTCTGTATATGGGGCTTGAAAATCATGCTGTAAGAGGTGCCCCACAGATCCCACCTTTGAAACTCAATTGTCGCTTCAGAGACGCCAAGAGATACTTCCATCTTTGGCCAGTAGAGAGCAGCAGCACATCGCCAGCAGCCTCCACTCTTCCTGCCAGATACTAAATGTTGGGAGAAGACCCAGCGTGCATCCTAAAGAATCTTGGGGCTATAATCGGGACTCCGAAAAGTAGCCTTGGATTACAACTCCTACAGACCCCGGTTGGCAAGGTTGATGGCTATTTAGGATACATTGGGGAGATTCTAGGACTTAGTCCCAAAAATGTTACTTTTCCACACTTGGGTGAAGAATGTGCTCTGAGTTTTCTGACCGTCTGCAGAAGTCAACAAGTGGAGTTCCTCTTACCTTATCCTTTGCTACTGAACCGGGTTCTGCTTTCTTTCCCATCACTTCCATTTGTCTGGATAGCATAAGTTGCGGACGGCTCCAGGCCACACTTGAAGATACGGGGAAATTGAAAGGCAGACTCCCCAATCCCCACTGTTTTATACTAATAGGACTGCTGCAGCTACCACCTTTGCCACCAGAAAAATATAACAGGTTGTGAATGTGACCTGGAAGTTGACATTTTCTTTGTAATTGACTGATAGA